GATTGACAGAATCGTAGAAACGCTGGATTAAGATTAGCTAGGGGGTCGAATCGAGATTGCGATCTTTTTGCAGCTCTAGTTCAAATATTACAAAATGGAATTTTTTTTTTCACTTTCAGAAATAAGTCAAAATTAAGTGTTTTTTTTTTTTTCATAAAACAAGCTAAATAATCAGCCAGTGGCGTACAGGAAAATAATCAGCCAGTGGTGTAAGCAAAATAATCTTGTTTTAGGTTTGAGTTTGAGCAGATATTTGGACATGAAACAATACAAAAAAGATTCTAAAAAACGCATTTGTTGTTGAAGTAAATAAACACTATGTGCTCTATTTTGACGGTCTATGCGCAGAGCGCAAAATGCAGGGCGCAAACACTTTCAGGGCGTGTCAGAACGCATTTTTGCTAATTTACAGACGGGAAAATCCGTTTTGCGCCATGGAGCATGGTCTAAAAGGGTTAAGTTTATTTTCTTAATGAGTTATAGGTGTGTTTGAGAATAAACCAATTAGAGTCTCTAGAATCCCATTCCCTTTAAGAGCCAGCTGCGTCGCGCCAAGAGCGCATTCGCTATTTACAGGACATAAAGTAAGTCTAAGTGGAAAATCTGAGCATTTTACTAGCAAACAGTTCACAGTTTTTTTAACAGAAAACTTAAACAGAGCATCTACTGCGTGAGAATGAGAGATAAAGGATCACTTTCACTTTCGCTCCTGGATAGGGAAACCTTTACACACAGACATCAATTAGCCTATAAATAATTAATTGTGTTTGTTAAGGGCAAATATTAGTTTCAAAACTATTTTTAAATTCAGTTCTAATTTCCAGCAAACGAATAAATGAACAATAATAACGAAGTGTGGTGAAAAACCTGAGTTATATCCTAAAACACATGCTGTGCCCCATATGGTCTAAAACTTGACAGGTGGGCAAATCTAAGCTTGTTTTTAATAAAACAAATATAAATATGGATATAATAAATAATACTGCTAATAATAATAACATTATACAAAAGCAAATTGTTATGAATGAACTGAAAAAGCCTCCCGATATAAAGAAGACATAAAAGCAGTGATTTTTCATATTTATGTAGGCTAGAAAATAATATGTTTTGTAATATTTTAATCCTTTATTTTTATATACTATATCTATTCTTATTATATCCTATATATATATATATCCTTAATAATTAAATGTTTTCATATGTAAAGATATTTGCCTATTGCTCTCTTGTGCGTATTAAGCAGTGTGGAAGCGAGGCGCAACTCTGTTTGGGGTTTAGACCGGGTTTGTTTTGGTCTAATGAAAAATCTATTTTAGTTTCTCAAAATATCAACGCGCCAGCGGTCCGCCTCAGAACGCCTTCCTTTTTAGACCAGAACGCCTATGGGCGCACAAATGAGCGCTAATGCATTTGCTATTTAAACAGCGTAGCGCAACGCCTCAAAACGACTCTTGCGCCAAGCTAAAACTACCAAAAGACTATTGCGCCGGGTGTATGATAGGGCCCTATATCATCTACAAAAAAATAATAAATACACTGAAAATCCCCAAAAATTAGGTAACTCAAACCATTTTGAGGAAACCGATTGCAACAAACCATTTAAGTTCAAAAACTAATCCTAATGAGTACTGTGAACTTAATCCAATTGAGTAAATGAAGCAGTTTAAGCACAGTAAAACCCAATAAATGAAGAGAACTCAAACCAACTGAGTACTGTAAACTCCAATAAGTTAAGACAACTTAAACCGTTTGAGGAAACCGAATGCTACAAACCATTTGAGTTAAAAACTAGTCTACATGAGTACTGTGAACTTACTCCATTTAAGTTGAACTAATGAGGTATTTGATTATCTCATTTACTTCAACACTGAGTTCAAAACTCTTTTCAAATGAGTAGAATTAACTTTCAGTAAATTTTGAGTCAACTACACTCACTTCATTTGATAAAGTTGACTGTTTTGCAGTGTAATTAAATGCAATTAATCTTTGTTACGCCTCCAAAGATCATAAGTTCTAGTGCGTGAATGTTTTAAACTCTCTTGAAATGCTCCGTCACAGACCCTAAAAACACACGCAAATTAGAGCTGCACAATTCCGGCTAAAATGAGAATCGTGATTTTTTTGCTTAAAATAAAAATCACTATTTTCTCACGATTCTGTATATGTAAAACAAAAGTATGGTAAAAACAAACATATGGCACAACATCGATAATAATATTATGTGTAGGTCTACTGGTTTTTATAAATAATTCTATTCTACTTATAATAATCCTGATGATGAATTATTATGTTTGAGATTTATGCTTGTGATATATATCACTCTCTGTGATAACAGCTCATGGTCAGCAGCTCACGTGTGATTTCCCGGCCGCGAAAACATTATTATATGAAGACAAAAATGACATTTTTAGGTGAATTTTACCTTATAAATACATTATGTGACTCATTCAACATCATTTGGAGGTGTCAATGTCACTGAGCAACGTGTGTGAAACAATGAAAATGAACTTGAAAATATGATAGGCAGAATCGAAGAAATGCTGGATTAAGATCGTCTAGGGGGTCGAATCGAGATTGCGATCTTTTAACGATTAATTGTGCAGCTCTAACGCAAATAATAAACCTTCATTTTATTTTGGTTAATCTTAGCAGTGACTCTACAAATCCTATGTTTTGTGGCTACAACTATAATCCAGGCTCAACATTGTAAATTCTGCAATGTGATTACTGAGGATGAACACATTGTAATATCGATGCTGAAACGATATAATGTGCAGCCCAAGTTTCAACAAATCTTGAAAGTTAATATTTAAAAGCAGACATTTACAGCACCATTCTTAAAATCATTATTTGACGTAGTTTTTAATTACTTTAACAATATTTCAACGTGGCGGCGCAGTGGTTAGCACGATCGCATTACAGCAAGAAGGTCACTGGTTCGAGCCTCAGCTGGGTCAGCTGGCTGTGTTTGCATGTTCCTGTGTGGAGTTTGCATGGAAGGGCATCAGCTGCGTAAAAAATATGCTGGATAAGTTGGCGGTTCATTCTGCTGTGGCGACCCCAGATTAATAAAGGGACTAAGCCGAAAAGAAAATGAACATTTCAACTTCAAAGTGCAACTGTACCTTTTTCAGGTCAATACACAGTTGCTGACTAATGTTCAGTTCTTAAGATCCTTCAAATCTAAATAAATGCAACTCCAGGACGTGTCCCAACCTACATTAAATCAATCATGAATCACACCAAAACTAATTTGAGGCCATATTTCACAAAGCACTTTGTCATCGAGTAAAAATCAAGTGCATTGAGTGGTTATGAGGGAAAATAAGCAATTTATTTGATCAGCAAAATGCACTTAAACAACCATCTACGCATGATGATTAAGCATATCAAACATTAATCCAACGATTTCACAGGGTATTTGGTAAGAAAGAGAAATGAACACCAAATGACCATAAAGCCTGTACAGGCAAGTGGACACACGCATCTCCTTCAGGCCCTAATCTGAGTCAGCTGCTCTCATTGAGGGGCCCGCTGTCATGTGAACCCATGTGAGTTGGTTCTTACATATTCTCAGCACAAAGATCAAGGGCTCTTTGGTCTCCCTCTTGCGCCCAAGGCATCTCATAGAGACTTTCACATCACATGCTTTCATGAACTGATATGCTCTTTCAGACTGAAACACTGCTTTGAGAACAGCCTCGCACAGAGTTCCCATCTACCGAAGTATAGTACTGTTGATCAGAGATCAGCTGAGTCTTGAACAAGAATGCAAAACCATTTGAAAAGAGTTGAAAAATAAATAGCGCAGCGGACTTAAACGTAAAAACATTCATTCCTTCATTTTCTTTTGGGCTTAGTCCCTTTATAAATCTGGAGTCACCACAGTGGAATGAACCGCCAACTTATCCAGCATATTTTTTACCCAGCGGATGTCCTTCCAGCTTGCAACCCATCGCTGGTAAACATCCACACATCCCCTTTAGGCCAATTTAGCTTACACAACCAGAGGCAACCCATGCCAACACAGGGAGAACATGCGAACTCCACACAGAAATGCCAACTGACCCAGCCGAGGCTCGAACCAGCGACCACTGCGCCACCGTGACGCCCATGTGCAAACATCTATGAGTTATTATATTCTATTTCACATGTTATCTAGTTCCAACGTGTGAATTCAGTTCCTCTCAAGTTCACACTGGTATAGGAACTACAGGTGTACACCTCAATCCAGCGGACACTGTGACAAGCAGTTTCCAATAGAGCACACTCGTTCATTTAGAAGTCTCTATATTGTTTAATTACCATGTTACTTTGAATATTCGATTGGAATTAGCATGCAAATACGACTTGAAAACAACAATAACACTGTTTATTTGACTGTGAACAATGTTGTACTTTGATAGTCATTTGCTGCTAATATGATTTTGCTATTTAGAGTTTGCAAATAATACATTTATGAAATTATATTATTAAGGGAAAAGTCTGAATGTGCGAATATAAAACCAACTTTACCTCTATCAGTTTCCAGTGTATTTAAGGTGCAATACCTGTGAAATTAAAGTTTTTGTGTCCTGTTTTTATATATAATATTATATTTAAGGTTTTATCAGGTCCTGTGCCAATAATCTGTTGACAACAATTAAATAAAATGGAGAACATTGAGTTGAAGTTAAAGAGTTCAGATGCAAAAACCTCAAATTCTTCTAAAATTAGCTTTTTTTTAATCAGACTCCAATGTGTTGGTTCAGTAATATCACATTTATGGAAAAAAAAAGTCCTTTTCCTGGTCTTTAAAGTGAAGTAACTGACTATAAACAAAGGAGGCTGAGAACAATGTTCATTTTCGATGTAAATTTCAGACGGCACTTGAACTCCTCAGTTACACTGCAGGCTTGTTGAAGGCAGTTACAAAATGTTTACGTTCTGTTACAAAACATGTCACAGAAACATATTAAAACGACAGAAAGTAGTTTTCAAAATGTTACCACATAACATACCGTTTGTCCTGGAGTCCCAATGATCATCTGCATGTAATATCCCCTACCAGAGTCCCCTTTTAAATTATTAATCATGTCTAGAAAGTTAACAATCCCCGCTGGATCTGACGCCAGGGACAGTCCACTTTTAGCAGCGGCTTCATTCTTTTGCAAAGGCCTGAGGTCCAGCTGCACAGACGCGTTGAATTTCCCCGCAAATATGTTTAAAGGTATTTTAAACACTGAATGAGACTTCCAGAAGGTGAGAGAAAGTAGCAGTAGCCCGTAGAGCCGCATCTCGCCGAACTTCACGTTGAACAGACTCTCAGCTCTGCTCCAAAGTGCACGACTCTGTCATTGATGTAGTAAGTTCCATTCTTGTTATTAGTTATGGGAACGATCTTCGGCAGAGCTTATGTGAAGCAGACAGATGCCGCGGGGATATAAAGTATGTGTGTAATGTGTTCAATGGATAACTTCCTGAAAGAGCATATGACGGATATGACGAGCATATCCAAACATTCCTGCGATTAATGAGGGCTAGAGGCACGGGAGAGGGATAGACTGCAACAAGGATGTTTCTCAGAAGTTTGTATACAGCAGCTGTTTTAAACATACAGTGGAAATCAGAATTATTAAACCCCCTTTGATTTTTATTCTTTTTTTTTCCTAAATGATGTTTAACAGAGCAAGGGAATTTCCACAGTATGTCTGATAATATTTTTTCTTCTGGATAAAGTCTTATTTGTTTTATTTCAGCTGGAATAAATGCAGTTTTTAATTTTTTAAAAACCATTTTAAGGCCAAAATTATTAGCCTCTTTAAGCTATAAATTTTTTCGATAGTCTACAGGAAAAAAAAAAACATCATTACACAATAACTCAATAACTTGCCTATTTACGCTAACCTGCCTAGTTAACCTAATTAACCTAGTTAAGCCTTTAAATGTGACTTTAAGCTGTATAGAAGGGTCTTGAAAAATATCTAGTCTTATTTACTGTCATCATAAAGATAAAACAAATCAGTTATGAGAAATATGTTATTAAAACTATTATGTTTAGAAATGTGTTGAAACAAATCTTCTCTTCATTAAACAGAAATTGGGGAAAAAATAAACAGGGGTGCTAATAAATCAGGGGGATAATAATTCTGATTTCAACTGTATTTGATACTTTATTTATTTATTTTATTTATCTGTAAGAAATAAGCATACCAGCTTGGATTTAATTGTTCATTATTATTATTATTATTATTATTATTATTATTATTATTATTATTATTATTATTATTATTATTATCATCAGTGTTGTTGTTGTTGTTGTTGTTGTTGTTATACTTTATTAAGATCATTAACATAATAAATATGTTGATCTAAAGACATTTTGTTAAGATTATGTGATCCACAAATAAAAGTACAAATAACAAAATAAAAATTGAAATATTCGAAATAAAAATTGTAAAAAACAAAATTTGTTCTGTAAATGTGTCTCTCTGGATGTTTTCTCTAGTTATTAGAACAAGAGAAAATAGCTGTCAACACGTAAATGCATGCATGGACATTAAAGCTTTTTATTTCATTATATTATATTATATTATATTATATTATATTATATTATATTATATTATATTATATTATATTATATTATATTATATTATTCATTCATTTATTTTCTTTTTGACTTAGTTCCTTTATTAATGAACCGCCAACTTATCCAGCACTTTTTTATGCAGACGATGGAATTCCCGCCTCAACCCATCTCTGGAAAACATCCACACACCCTCATTCACACGCATACACTACGGACAATTTAGCCTACCCAATTCACCTGTACTGCACCGCATGTCTTTGGACTGTGGGGGAAACCGGAGCACCCAGAGGAAACCCAAGCAAATGCAGGGAGAACATGCAAACTCCACACAGAAACGCCAACTGACCCAGCTAAGGCTCAGTCCAGCGACCTTCTTGCTTTAAGGCGGCAGCACAACCTACTCCGCCACTGCGTTGCCACATATTATATTATATTATATTATATTATATTATATTATATTATATTATATTATATTATATTATATTATATTATATTATATTATATTATATTTGTATAGTTTCAATTTTATCATGTAACATGCCCTGGTTATAATATAATATAGTTAGATATAATAATAATTTCTGAAATAATTTTCAGAAATTTGTGTGCAATTTTGACGAACTGCATCTCTTTTTAATGTTTATCGTCTTGTTTCATATTTATTTTCATGTTTTCACTTTATGTACACTGGAAGCTTCTGTAGCCAAAACAAATTCCTTATGTGTGTAAGCACACTCGGCAATAAAACTGATTCTGAATATGACTTGTTTTGATAGGCATTTACAATAATACATTATGTATATAATTCATTAATGACGCTTTTTAAATCAATATATTGAATTGAATAGAATTTTTATTTGACATATTTTAGACAAACTGTACACAAATGCAAGAAAATTGTCGAGAATAAAAACACAACAAAGCCCTGTGCTTGTTTCCACTGTGGTCCTCGCTGTTAAAAAAAAAAATATATTATAATACAGTTAATCCATAAACCAAACAGTACCTCCACATTTTAAAACAGAAGCAAAATTATTCGCAATGTAATAACATGAAATAACACATCATCATCCACCATGCAAACTAACTATCCTCATCAAACAACCATCTTTGGATGGCTTATTTGAACCTCTTTCAGTCTTATTTTCTTGATGGATTTTGGTTAGTTGTTCCACATGATTGCACTTGTATATAAACACATATTTTCCCTTCTACATTTTTTATAAACAAATATTAAAATCCCAATCCTTAGTACTACACTCTCAGAAAAAAATGCTAGCTACAATGTTGCACCAAAGAAGGTAGAAACCCTTGTCATGAGGCACTACCTTTTTATGGGACAGATTTGTACCTTAAGTCAAAGAAATACATTTGTACCATTGCAGTTTGTACCTTTAAAGACATGATTTGTACCATGGGAAACCAAAATGTACCTTTGTTTTTTAAAACCTGCAGATACAATATTGGATCAAAGGTACAAATCTGATCCATTAAGGTACCACCACAGTGACAAGACACTGTGTCAAAAAAGCTAACCGAACATTTATTTAAAATGCCTCAAATGTTTTGTTTACAATACCTATAGTTTTATGTTTTAACAGTTGTTGGTAAAATTGTAATATAAAACTTAATAATTAATGTTTATTTAGTTTCTATAAACATATTTAAATGATGATTCTTGTTTTTTTAAATATATAAACTTTATTTATTAAAGACAAGTGGATAGCATTTGTTGTATACAAACGTCCAATTTCTGCTCTTTTTCCTTTTTGAACACTTTTGTAAACATTTAACCCCGACACCCCCCGCCCATCCCACCCATACATGCACATAGCCAGTTTTCTTGTAAAACATATAACAGAAGACAGTAATAGAGTAATAGAAAAACTAAAATAATAACAATAAAACAAAATTAATAATAATAGTACAATTTAAAATAAATATATAATTTCAAATAAATAAATAAAATAAAGTAGATTAATTAGCTATAGTTACATTGACATTAATGTGCTACCTACTTCTTGGTTATTATGGTTTTAGTTGTGCTGAGGTTTAACCAATGCGTCTAGTTTAGGGCATGACAGATCCGGAGAAAAAATGCTAGTTTAAAAAAAAATATATATATTAATAATGATAAATCCGACCATAAAATGATTTCTTAAATAATCACTTCTAGAGGTGTTAAATCATCAAAACAGTTTAGTAGTGGCATCCAATGAGTATAAAACCTGTGAGACGAGCGTCTGAGAGAGAACTTAATCTTCTCCAATTTCAGAAGATTTAAGATGTCGTGCAACCAGATTTTGATTGAGGGTGGTTGGTGCGATTTTCACATTAAAATAATTATTTTGCGAGCAACAAGGGAGGAAAAGGCGATGACATTATTTTGAACGTTTGTGACATGAAACTCATCTGGGAGTTTTCCAAAAATAGCGATGTGAGGGTTTGGGTTTAGATTAATGTCAAATATATATGAGATTGCCTTGAAAAATAACTGCCAGAATTCAGACATTTTGGCACAACCAGAACATGTGAGTGAGGTTGCATGGGGTCTGTGAACACCTATTACATTTGTTATCTAATCTGTCCAGATAGAGCTTTAAGAGTTTCTCTTTGCCGATTCTTTTTTTAATATAGAAATTAATCACAAAATCACTTTGCCTTTACAGTAATATTTATTTTCATAGATATTGTAATGAAGAAGGGGTTGTCCAACATTTTTTGTACCTTTCAATTGAACCATAAAAGGTACAAATCAGTATGATAAGAGGTCTTTTCTGTTCCATATGGTACAATTTTTACAGAGGTACAGAACTGTTCTTTAAGGAACATTATTTGGACCACCGTGTACCTGTTTTTCGAGAGTGTATATGAATGCTGTTGCCTCATCATTTGAAAATAGTTCACCAAATAAATAGGAATCACATAAATAAACAGTTTACATATGAATCCCAGTTTAAAAAGAAAACAATCGTTTTTTACAAACAGTTTATATATCTAATTTTTTTAACAACACTCTTTGTGCAAATGTGCTCTATAGGATGATTTTTTATTATTATCTGTAGGTTACATATTTATTTTGTGCCTTTTGCAATTTTTCCTTCATACTCTGAGAGCAGCTATTATACCAAAATGACATAGCATAATCAAAATGGAGTTGAAGCAAAGCTCCTGCCGTTCCAAGAGGGAAATATTATTGGAATTCTTTATTATGAGAGGTTAATTAAAGGAAAGTATGGCTGCTACCATACATTTCAAATAAAGAGAAATTAATTTAAAGATTTTACATAAAATATACCCAACCAACGTATTACTTTTCCAAATTTTCAGATATTCAGAAAGAGTGTTCATTTGGTAAAAACAGTGAGGAATCCTTATGGCACTTCTTTGTTGGTTGTCAGAGTGTGCAATTATTTTGGAAAGACTGTTTTTCTGATTATTATGCTAAAAATAATATGTTGATAACATTTAATGCAAAATAAATAATTTGTTATTTTGAAAATGGGGATACATTTTGTTAATTTTATTATTTTAAATGGTAAATTCTTTATACACAAATCAGAATCAGAAAGAGATTTATTGCCAGGTATGTTCACACACACAAGGAATTTGTTTTCGTGACAGAGCTTCTACAGTGCAACATAACTACAGAGACAGGACAAAAAAACAGATGATAAATATATTTTAAAAATAGAAGCAAGTAGAAGTAGTGAGTGCATAAAAAAGTCAAATGTACACTTTCAAAATCTCCACCTTTATACAAGGTTTTTTTTTTATCAATGAACATTCTGTTAATGTAAAAATGTAAAAGCTCTGTCTATTGTAAGCTATTATGAATCTGTTTTTGGTGTCTTGTGAATGTCTTTTGTCATTTGTTTTTGTTTTATTTTGTCTGTTTTTTATATCAATTATATTTGGAAT